TTATCTGTTGTTTCTAACAGCGTACTTCTTCATAAAGTAGGTACTCAGAGTTAGATATGTTGAGTGCTGAATGGTTATCCATGTTCCTGTGTATTAGTTGGTATATTAGTCTGTTTCTGTTGCTTATAACAAAATACCTTAAACTGGGTGATTTATAAAGAAAAACAAAATTTATTGCTTATAGTTTCTGAGGCTGGGATGTCCAAAGTCCAGGGAACACATTTGGTGAGGGTCTTGGTGATGATGACAGTGACTCGGGTCTCACATTGCAAGATGGTGGAAGCAGAAAGAGCGAGAGAGCGAGAGAGAGAAAGACTCTCCTTTTCTTTTAAAGCCCTCAGAATCACACCCCTGACCACCATTTTTAATCCATTCACTACTTCATGGTCTTATAATCCAGTCACCTCCATAAGGTCCCACTTTCAGTTATCATAATAGGATTTCCCACCCTCTCAACAGTCACAGTGGGGCCAAGTTTCTAGTACATAAAACTTGGGGGACATGATTCAAGCTTCAGTGAGTTTTGGGGGGACATAGTTCGATCCACTACAGTTGGTGATCTTTGTGAAACAAAAGCTATCTCTGGCTGATATAATGAAAAAAGAGTATTTGGAAAGGTATTGCATAGCTTGCGGAATCAAGGGGAAAATGGAATCGTTTGTCAGTCTCAGGAAGAGTAAGAACTGTGACACTTGTGGCATCTTAGCACCCTAGCCAACCAGGAGTGTCTCTTAAGTATTGCTACTGAAATGGCTCAGTTCTGTTTTCATTCAGTGATTTGTCCAGAATTGTGTTTCTTGGGAGGGAATAAGAACTGTGACACTTGTGGCATCTTAGCACCCTAGCCAACCAGGAGTGTCTCTTAAGTTTTGCTATTGAAATGGCTCAGTTCTGTTTTCATTCAGTGATTTGTCCAGAATTGTGTTTCTTGGGAGGGAGTCAGATTTGCTCTAAGCTTAAGTCAGGTGCCTATTGTTTAGCAGGGGTGATTGACAGGCCACCAAAGGCACAAGAAATGGGAGAAGAGTGTCTCCAAAGAAAAAGTGGGGACCTATTACCAAACAAGGGGAAACAGGCAAAAACAACAAATGCCTGCTTCCAGCAAGGTTCATCTCAAAGCAGAGTGGATTTAAATAACAGCTTTAACCTAAACAATAAGTGATTTGGAGATCACCTGAATTCAATTGCCAAGTTATTCCTCTAGATGGAAAATCTTAGCAGTTTAATGCATCAAGAAATGTTTTATGTTCAATTGAAAACTTGATGTTTCTTCTGATAACATTTTTAAAAATAGTATTTATTTAGCCGTTTTCAAACATACACAGAAATATAATAATGTGGAACCTCATGTAACCATCACCCAACTTCAACAGTTCTCAGCATTTTGCCAATCTTGTTTCTGTTGGTTGCATTTTAAAGCATTATTGTAAGATGCTTTTACAACTAGCTATATAGAAACTTATAAGATTTAACATGTTTGAGAACTTGCTTTAAGAAATAAATCCAAGTGTCAAGGGTAATCAGTCTCATACCATAAAACAGTTAATGCATTATTTATCTGGAGGTACAATTTTATTTCTGTCAGTAAGGCTTTTTAAATTTTTATTACTGGCTTAATCCTGATAAATTAATCCCTTAATAACTCTTTTCAGCTGACTTCTACCAAATTTGTCTTCTGGTCCTTGGAGTCTTTGGGTGGGAGTCAGAGGTTTTATCTGACCATAAAGTCTGGACACAAGCATGCACGCACTTTGCTGAGAGTTGAGTGTGCTCTGGTCTCTTTTGCAGTTGAAAGATGCATGAGTGTGATGCAGTCCGGGACACAGATGATCAAACTGAAGCGTGGGGCCAAAGGGCTCGTCCGGCTCTTTTACCTGGATGAGCACCGGACCCGCCTCCGATGGCGACCCTCTAGGAAGAGCGAGAAGGCAAAAAGTAAGACCAACCTTTGCATTCTTTGCTTGGCTTCACACGGAAACATGTGGGTTATACTGGGTAGGCTCTGGGAAAGCTTCAGATCTGTGGAACTTTCCTGTTTTTGCAAGTTTTGGGGTCAGTTGTTCATGGATATTGAGAGACAGAATAAGTGATGACTGTCTTTGGGGAGTTTAAATCCATAAAAGTTTTCTTGCCCATGAATGCTATAAATGTTATTTCCTGTGTGTTGGAGACATGAGTTGTTTTTTTTTTAAGTTGGGATATAAAGTTTTACAGCTTGAGACCTTTTATTTTTCTGTAAAGGGTGAGGGACATCATAAATACACTGGGCTTTAAAGTGTATATTCTGAGCACAGTTAACTGGTTAATGAATTGACAGCACTGTTTTAATGATACCAAATAAAATAGTTTTGATCTGACTGCTAGTTAAAGCTTCTCTCTCCCACACTGTATTAGTCAGGTCAGAGAAACAGAACCAACAGGAGATAGATAGATGGATGGATGAGAGGGGATTTATTAGGGGAATTGGCTCATGTGATTATGGAGGCTGAGAAATCCCGCAATATGTTGTCTGCAAGCTGGAGAACCAGGGAAGATGGTGCTGTCGTTCAGTCTGAGTCTGAAGACCCAGAACTGGGGGAACCAGGGGTGTAACTCTCAGTTCAAGGTCAAAGCCCCAAGAACCTGGGGGGCCACTGATGCACCTCCCAGAGTCTGAAAGCTGGAGCACCTGGAGTTCTGATGTCCAAAGGCAGAAGAAGATGGGTCTCCCAGCTCCAGAAGAGGAGGAGAGAGCACATTTGTCTTTCCTCTGCCTTTTTGTTCTGTCTGATCCCTCACCTGATTAGAGGATGGCTACACATGCTGGGTGAGGGAGGATTTTCCTTATTCAGCCCACTGATTCAAATGCCAAGCTCTTCCAGAAAACACCCTCACAGACACACCCAGAAATGATGCTTTGCCCAGCTATCTGGGTATCCTTTAAGGTAGTCAAGGCGACACCTGAAATGAACCATCACATATACTTTCTACATTTAACATCAAGTCCTTGTTGAATCTCTTGTGACAGCTCATCTGCTCCTTCCTTCCTGTTTTCATGGTAGCCTCCTTGGTTCAGGGTCTCTTCACCTCTCTGGTAGTCTATTGCAAGTCCTCCAACCAGTCTCCATTTTTCTAGTTTCTTCTGTCTTTATCAGTAACAGAAGACCTTGTCTAAATTCGGCTTGCATGGTAAACAAATTTATTACCTCCCCTAACAAGAAACTCAGAGACTGGCAGTCCCCAGGCATGGGACGTTTAGTTTCTTTTTCTGTTTCTCTGAAGTGCTCTTGGCTCTGTTCTTGTGTGTTGGCATTGTCACCAAGGCAGCAGCAGCAACATGGCCTCAGCCATTCTGGGCCTCACAACCTGATATGACCGTGAAGAGGCAGAAAGGGACCTTCTCTTCTGTTGCTTCTTTTTTAGGAGAAAAGAACTCTTTCTAGACCCTTCCCTTAAGGCAGACTGGCCCATGCCTGCTTGGTTAGAACTGGCTTGCATGCGCTCTCCTGAAACAGTCATAAGACATAGGAGTGGGTCACTCCAATAGCCTGACCCACCAGAACATGCCCTGGGGCTGAGCATTTCCCTGTGAGTCATGTGGGGAACGAGTTGATACTAGAAGAAAATCAGGACCCCGCCATTAAGGCAGAAGTGAGGAGTAGGTGGTGTATGTGGGCAACCAGTTGGGTATGCAACACTTCTGATTCGTGCTTAAACATAAGCAAACAAAAATATTTTCGTCTGAAGTTATCCCCCTTGCCAGTGCTTCTCTGATCCACAC